GGCTGTAAACCTTCCCTCCCCCCGCTTGACAGCAGAACTTTCGGAAAAACTGAAAAAAAAGCGACAGGAAGTTGGGAACAGTGGGTAGGATAAGGAAGTGGGCAGTATATTCCTCGTGGTTTTTCCCGCTTCACATGTGCTATGTACCCTTTTCAACAGCTCGATCGTAGCAGAGGAGGGAACTAGGGAGAGTCCAACAAGCCACCTTCTAGGGGGGGGTCGGACTCGAGAAAAATCCCCGTCTAAAGATGTGCCTTGGTGGAGTATGAAGGCAGCAATCGGGTTTCACTACCCTTCAGACCCGTTCCTGTGCACTTTTGAACGGAGAAAGTGGCACGAGCAAGTGTCTTTGTGCAGAAGCAGATCGAGAAAAGCGCGCTCGAACTTTATAGGAGAACTTCTTTTGTATTACAAATAGTGGCAAGGATTTGAAGCAAATCGGAATGCCAAGAAAATACGGTACAGGGTCCAGCATGAACAGCAGAATTAGCACATCACTAGTGTACTGCTTGTGTAGCGATAGTTGCCTTCTCAGTCTTCGGTTTCTAGTGTCATGCGAAATGGGATTTTCAACAAAGCTCTGGATGATGGAATATATCACCCCACCGTGCACCGCTGCCCTCGTCTATTATGCGGAGTTCCTTCGCTCATTCATGGTGGTCTCGATACATGCCGTCGCTGATACCCTAACCTTCATCAGAATGACTTGCCATAATAGAAAAGATGTAAGTGCAATAATTACTACAAGATGTTGTCGAGTTAGTAGAAGACGGTTTTGTGACTCGAATGCATTCATTTATTGCATTCCTCAGACTTTTTGCCGAAGTGTACACTGTTATCGCTGAGCGCTGGTGCTGTAGGTGTCCGGTTTAGACGCCAGTCCCGTTCTTCAGCGTTCTTTCGAAGCCGGATGTGAACGTTGCTGGCGGCCTCGGTGTTTTCGTAAATGTAGCCTATCAAGTACCGCGGCTAATAACTCGGCCCATCGGAAACGACTATTCGCATATTTTCCTTATATCTTTCAGCCCAATATCGCATCTAATTCAGCAGAGCAAAGGAAAAGGCGTCGCGTCGAGAGGAGGTTTGTCAAACAGGTATGTTGGTCTTACTCTCACGTAAAGTTGGTTCTTCAGAGAACAGTTAGGGCTACTAATAAAGTTCTGCCTGGCAACCTCGTTGGCGCACAGGTATAACATCAAATTTACGACAATGCTGAGATTACACGAAGAGAGAATCTGGAGACTATTGGAGCTGAAAGACTGCGATAGCTGGATGCCGTCCCGAACTCTACCCGCCATCCACAACGTGCGGCATGTTCGTCAAGATCGAGAACCGCAACATGAACAGCAAAATGCCTATTGCGGCCAAGGGTAAAGAATAATCAAAGGTGGTAGGGCGCAGTCAAGCAGCGCTTTCGAGTAGTTTTATGCCTGGTCCTGCGGTACGTTGCGTCTGCATGCTCTGCTTGTCGGTAGAGTCCGTCACGGCATTTGGCTACCACCACGCTTCAGCCTCATTTCGGTCCACTATCGCGTGACGAAAGTGGCCCACTTCTACAGCTGTGGACCTATTCACCCCGCAGAAGGCAAGGAACAGCGTCCTTAAAGGCACGTTCCGCGATAAACTAAGGCTAGAACCTCATAAACGTGCATGATGATCAAGCAGGCAACAGTAGAGGATATGCTGCTTTTAAAAGTTGAAAAACAGCAAGCAGAACGCACGCGCTCATGTTTTAGGCCCATTGGCGCCCGATAGGCCCATGCCGGCCTCCAGTGACCGTGTCGTTGTGAGACTGCCATTGCGCTCTCGCCCGTCATTTTCTGGCCTCTCTCGTCTCTTATCAGTGTATCGCCGCCTTTCGCAATTCACAATTGATCTTGACCACCTTACGCTCGTCCGGTGATCATGATCAATTGAAATAAAGAGGGTCTTATTGCGGGCGCTTTTTCGTGGTTCCTTCTCTTCAATAAACAATCACAGGGCAATTCTATTTTTGAACTGTATTACCTATGAAGTGTGGTCGCGGGAATTGCCTTTAAAGGCACAA